AGAGGAGGGGATAAAGCAATTAATAAAGATGAACATTCTTACCATAAGCCCCAGCTGTTTTTATAGCATGTTGCACAGAGCAGCTTGACAAATAATTCTGATTGATCCTTAGGCCTGTAGAAATTTTATTTGGTTCAATCCTGTTTTGACTCTGACTCTAACCTGTTTTTCTCTCTTCTTCATACAATTTTCAGCCACAATTTCCTGCCAAATAACTTCTTTCTACCACACTCCTCCTCCCCAGTGTAAGAGAATGCAAGCACATGGTAACACTGGGAGCAAGGACATTGAAGAACTATTGCCTGACTTCTAACCAAGGCTCAGATTGGCGCAGTCCTTTTAGTTTTTCAGCGTGAAGTTCAGGGATCACAACAGTTGTTTCATCCATGAAATTTTCACAACTTGTTATTTTCATACCTGACATCTGGGGAAAGATGAATCTAAAAGGTTTTTATAAAATAGCCATTAGCCTAAGGATATATTCAGGAAAATGTAGAAATAATTCCCCGGCCTTGGTACAGATGATGCACATGCTGGCAAACAGAAACCTCAAGTGATGAAAGAGATGGTCTTTTGTGGACACTTTCCTAGACCTGAGTTCCATGTCTTTGCATTTGACTCAGTAAAGAAATCTTTATTGAGCACCTAGTGCAGGCCAAAAATGCTGCTACGTTAGGAGGGATTGGGAGCCCAACTGGCAAACATGAAGGATGAAGAGAGAATACATGTAATTAAAGCACAAAGTAGAATAGAACATAGTATGCAATGGGTTATAGGGCATTATGGAGGAAAGAGAGCAGGTTTTACTAGCGGGGTCAGGAAAGGCATTACGAAGGTGAAGGCATTCTTGTGGGGTCATGAAGGAGAGATAGGATTTTGGCAGGTGAGGAGGCACTGCAGTGCAAGAGGATAATAGGAGTGAAAGCACAGTAGTCCGTGAAGGGCAGAGGCGGGAAATAAAGGATGGCTGTGTTTATCTTGTGAACACTGAGCTGTAAGTACAGTTGACGGCGTCCTTCTCGTTGAACCACTGTTTACCCCAGAGTCACCACACCCTCCTGGCTCTTTGCCAGACTTACCGGCCACTGCGTCTCAGACACCTTTCCTGCTTACTCCTCCTCAGTCTCACTTCTACACGTTGAAAGGCTTCATCATTGGGCTTTTAGCTTCTTCTCCCAAGTTGCTATCATTTAAGTATAAATTATTTAACATTTACATGCCAGTGACTTCCCCCATGACCTGTGCCCTGACCTCTAGGCTGCATATCAAATTGTCTACCCAGCATCTTTACAGGTGCTGTTCACTAGGCCCAAACCAGAACTCTTGCTTTTTTGCAACCACTCTGCTGGAAATCCTGCTCTTCCACTGGCCTTGTCTATCTTAGCTAATGGGCCTGCCATCCACCGAGGTGCTTAGCCCTCTCTCCAACCTAGGAGTTATTCTAGATATGGCCTTTCCCTCACCCTTCCCATAAAGCAGCAAATGTTTTGAGTTCACCCCAAACAGGTGACTACTGTCTTTTGTTATAAGCCTAATGGCAGTAAGATTTGCCTCTAAATGTACATGAATTGCTTTGATAACAATAAGTACTAAATTTAAAAAATATTCATTTTACAGAGATCGTCTCTTGATTCATTCCCAGAAATGAACTCATAAGTCACCCAGAAGAGCCATGCATTCCTCAGTTTTCATGTAAGCTGGAACTGATTTTTCCCATCTTCCAAAAGAGGCTTCACCATTTTCTTGCCTTCCAGACCCAGCTGCTATGGATCAGATACACAAAAACCTGCCCCTCATTATCAGTTACATAGTGAAAACAACAATAATGGTGAAAATGATGGTATTGCTACTACAAATACTAGCAAGCAGCTATTAAGCCCTGCCATCCAGTGCAATAAGCACTGTACACTTACTGAAGGTTCAAACTTCACGGACACTAAGAGATGGATATGATTATTGTCCTCATTTTGGGTCACACAGTTAGAAAGTGACAGAAACCAGGACATAGTCCTATTTCTGTTACACCCCAAACCCACCCTTTTAACCAAGAGTAATTTAAAATTCAGAGTCACAGAATAGAGGTAGATCCAGCTTCTAACGCAAGGAACATATTGATTGGCTACAGTGAGAAAGACATAAAGATCCATCTCTGGAAAGATGATATAGATTAAAAGGGGACTATTTATAACCCCTTTTGTTAGGCCTCATTGTTTCTTCTTATGTAATTTTCAAGGTAATTTCATTTTGGGGGATGCTGAAGACTGGCCATTTATTTATTCATTTCTCCCTCTTCAACCTTTATGTCTTCTCATTCCCTCCAGTGGGCACCCTCCCTGACATCAGAAGTGCACTAGAGAAAGTAGGGAGGAACATGAACCTAACAAGAGGACAAATGAAGTTTCTAGAAACAATTTCCAGGGGAAGAACACTATTTTGCAGCTATCTCAATCTTCATTTCTTTCTGGATCTGATGGTAAGAGACACACATGAACCTTAATGAAAACAGAGAGATTACATCAGCCAGGATAAACCAGGTTTCGCTATGGTAACAAACAACCTCAAAAATCTCAGTGGCTTAAAAAAGCAAAGAATTATTCTTACAACACATGCTCCTCAGTAGTCACATTCCATGATGCATTCTCCCTCTATTCACCATCTGTTTGTCCCCCAACTTTTCATTCCGGGCATTAGGGCCATTTTCTGATTTCATGTGGAAACTGCCCTAAGAGCACTCCCTATACACAGTACTTCTTGGAACCACCACTGATTTCGTATGATTCTCTGGAAGGCTGATTATCCCCCGTGTCCACTTTCCTAGGGTTATAGGCCACCCTGCAGTTGAAATACATTATTAGCGTTTCCTGGAGATATCAACTCTGAGAGCTCCTCCAAGTGAGGCAGTATCCTCTAATTTCAAGCATGGATGAGTCTCAGTCGGCTCTGCCACCTACTAATTGCATGACATTGTGCAATGTCTTAAGCTCTCTGAGCTTTAGCTTCCTTATTTGAACAGGGTTTTTGTTCATTATTTAAACAGGGAAAATTTATTGGATTTGAGAGAATTAGGAGATAGTATTAGTAGAACTTGTTGATGAATTGGGTGAGGCAGAGGGAGGAGGCAAGGATGACTACCAGGTTTCTATCTCAAGCAACTGGGTGGTGGCATCTCTTAATGAGGAGGAGATAAGAGAATCAGTGTTTGCCGACCACTGGCCTAGGGTAAGCCCTGAGAACTTTTCTGTGTAATGGTCTCATAGAGAGGGTAGAGAATTCTTCCAAAAAAGGTTTACTTTTATGACACCACCCTCTCTTCTTTTCTTCTTACCTTTCTGGACACTATTTCTTTGTTTCCGTGAGGAAAAAGATCATGTTGTCTACTGAGAGTGAGGAGGGTGGGCAGGCTTTAGTAGGGCTCCTCAATAGAGATGTATAAGTTTAAAATAATTACTAAGGCAAGTAGGAAGGAATGCTGATCCAGTGAGCAGACTGAGGAGATGTATTGAAATCCTAAGATCAGAGACCACGTGGTTTACAACAATAATCTGGATGGTTATATTTTACTTAGGAGTGTGCAGCTTTCTAAATTGATCCTGTGTTGGGAGATTGCCAGGGGAGTGCAGTATAGAAAGGTAGATGTATGGATTTGAACGTGCTGCCTGTGAGTAGTTCAAATAGCCAATGCCTCATAATCTTTTTAGGGGAAGGCTGGTAGACTGTGAGAAAATGAAGACCTCAGGAACTGGAGGACTCCATGAGTTTGGAGAGCAGGCATGTGTAGGTGAGGATCCTGAGAGCACTGGAGGAGAGGCAGTCAGTTCCTAATATAGGATATTTGCAGTTAAAATTCTGGGTGCGGGACCACGATAGTGATGACAAGGTTCAGGATATATTGAATATTTCTGGCAGGGGAGTCTATGTTGAATGGAGATGAGATTTGTTATTGTGTATGTGAGGTAAAGAACAGTAGTTCTAAGGTGTTGGGTGGATATCCCACAGAGACATTGAATTTTTCTGGAATGATGTCCTAAGTTGGGGTTGAGGAGAAGAGTGCTATGTCTTGAAGAATGTGGCCAGGAGGTCAGTAGCTGATAGAAACATAGAAGTGTACACGGTGGTACAGTCAGGTGGCATGGCTACCAGGGTAGGAGAGTGGTAATTCTATAGTGGCATTAAGGAGCCAATAAATTATCACCCCTCACCCTTTATTCTATGGCGGGTAAAATACACAGCATAAGGTGTGGAGATGTTACGCTTATAGGCTTTTTCTTTTACATAAAGAAAGAAGATTCTAGAGGGCATAGCGGGTTGAGGAGATAATTCAAAGAGAGGAAGTGTCGGGCATTAAGGGGTTAGGAACAGGGGACATAAACTGACTCTCTTTTGGCATATGAAGTTTTTCGGAATGGAAGGCTTTGTTGGAATTAATTGACCACAAAGTGAGTCATACGGTGACAAAGATGTCTGGGGGTCTGAGATAGGATCTGGACAAATCATGTGTGGGCTGGGTCACTGTGTGGAGACTGGGGTCCTGAAGGATCTGAACATGGGCTGCCTCCAGTGTGAAGGGTGAAGGGATCAGGCTTCCTCTCCCCGGGGTGGTCTCAAGATGTGCTGAGTGGCCACATGCATGATGGTTTTCATTTAATATCTCTTTTCTAGCCTCCCATCAAGTGTAAGAGGTGGGCCCTCAAATAATATTAATAAAACCTCTGTCTGGCCCTAGCCGGGTTGGCTCAGTGGATAGAGCATCGTCCTACAGACGGAAGGGTCTCGGGTTCAATTCCAGCCAAGGGTGCATGCCCAGGTTGCAGGTTTGATCCCTAGTGTATGTGTATGGGTGTGTGTGTGTGGGAGGGGGTGCAAGAGGCAGTTGATCAACAATTCTCTCTCATCACTGATGGTTCTATCTCTCTCTTCCTTTCCCTTCCTCTCTGAAATCAATAAAGAAATATATTTAAAACAACAACAACAACAACAACAACAAAACATCTGTCTGTCTTCCATGTGAAGACTCATTTATGGGAAAAGCAATCATTTATGGGAAAGCATTGAGCAATTCTAATCACTATATGTATGCTGAATTTTATTGTTACCCACACCTTTGATGTATTTCACTTTGTGCTCAGCCGTGTATCTGTAACAGACTTCCAGGGAAAACAAGGGTTTCCCTCTGACAAGCCAAGATTCTTTATTTATAGTGCTAGGCTGGCACCTGGGCTGACTCACTGCAGTGATTATGTAGTCTTGATGTGGACTGGCATCTTTCCCTGGAGTTTGAGTATCTCCCTCGGCAGCTTCTCATGGCCAGAAGCTCCATTTCTGTGTCTTTCTATTCCAAAGCCCAGACTCCAGTCTAGGCCACCCACCAAGTTCCTCGCTCCAGTCTTAAGAATGCCTCCAGCTCCTGGCACCTTTGCAGAACTGAGCTGACTGACATGTGCCAAGCACGGGTTGCCAGTCTCGTGTAGTTTTCCAGGTACACCTTGGCGATTTGATAGGAAGGTATCCCGAACAAAGCGATAGTAGTCTCTGAGAATTGTGCTCTCCCAATGTCTAAAGTCTTTTAGCCTTTCAGGGACAGAGATACAACTCCAACCAAGAAAAAGGTCTTCCTTTTTTAATACCCTACCTCCCTTTGAAATTTAACTGAGATTGCGCTTGATGTTTTGGATGTTAGATGTTTTTGGAAGGGGAAAGGAAGCCCCTTGATGGAATAGATCTTTTAAAGGGTAATTCTCAAGCAGGTTAATTAGATTTCATTCTATCATCACATTTCTACTGACAGTGATCCCCCCCTCCCCTTTCCTGTCTTGGGACATGGAGATTGTTCTGGAGAAGCCACATGCCTAGAGTAATTATTGGGTGAGGCACAACATACTGCATTAGCTAGTCAGAAGTGCACACATTATTTTTAGTAAAATGGGATGCAGTCTTGGGGGAAAAAACCCTATGCTGTATGTTCCCTTTACTCACTTAGAAGTATTCTCCTTTTACTTCACATCTCTTTGCATCCTTATCCCTTCACTCTGGGCATGAGGATAATTTTTTTGGCTTCATGTAGAAATTGCCTCAGGAATACACCCTGGGCACAGAAGTTCTTGGAGCTCCCATTGTTTTCATTTGGGGCTTTAACTGTTTCTCTGGAAGGCTGAATACTCCCAGTGCCTTTTTCCTCTGGTAGCTCATATTGAATTCTCTCCAACTCTCTGATTTTATCCATTTGAATCACTCCAACTTTCTTTACATCTCCAGAATAAGCACCATCTGGGTGATGAGGAGTTGACATCTACTAGATAAATGATAACTTGTTTAAAAGTCTTGTGCAATTTAATTTTCTGCCTTGGAAATGCTGCTTTACTGGCTTATTGAGAATTTCCAAAACCCTATGCTTATTCTATGTCACTCCAAACTCCATGTCCCCATCAAAGCATAGGACTGTGGGCAGAGAAGATAGTTGTTACAACCCCTACCCCTCTCCAAAACATGCTTCTGGAAAAACAACAACACAACAGCACACCATACAAACCCAATTGTCAAGGAAAAACACAGTTTTTCTTTAATTTTAAAGTTTTATTTTATTGTTTAAAGTATTACATATAATACTACATATGTCTTCTTTGCCCTCCATTGACCTCCCCCTCGCCCCCTTCCCCCGGCACATGCCCTCACCTCCCTAGTGTTTGTGTCCACTGGTTATGCTTATATCCATGCATACAAGTCCTTTGGTTGATCTCTTACCCGCCCCCCCCCCCCCCCACCTTCCTACTGGAGTTTGACAGTGTTCGATACTTCTTTGTTTCTGTATTTATTTTTGCTTGTCCGTTTATAATGTTCATTATATTCAACAAATGAGTGAGATCATGTGATATTTATCTTTCACAAGCCAGTCAGAGAAAGATAAACAAATTTTTTGACCCTCCTTTTATTTTCCCAGGCCAGTGAACATTTAGTACATGAGTGTACTTTGTAGAATTGCACGGGCATCTTTAGATAGAGACTAGCATGATTCTTCTTACTGTGAGAAAACAGATCTATAAGGTTTCTTTTATTTAGGAGACTGGACTTCATCATCGTCATCTTCAGTACTCAGTGGTGCTGCCAAGGCAGTGTGGTCAGAATGAGGGTGGGGTGGCAAATAAATGAAGCTTTTGGGAACATGAGCTGGCTTGAGTCATGTAAGGAACTGTTTCAACTTCTGTACCTACACAGCACCAAATGCGTTATTATGATACCAGAGTGCTGATTTAAAAGGAAAATGAAAAAGATATACACAAACAGCTGTCTAGAAAGGATGTGGAAAGCCGAGATGCAAAGGCAGGCAGAATAAGGCATCTCCTGTAAGGTACACATCCCACAGTGGTTAGCACTGTGCTGGCCACATGATAGGGGTCAATAATGTTTGTTGATGGAACTGTTTTTTGGAAAGAATATTATGATATGCAAAACTAAGAGCTCAAAATCTCTTTATAAATCTTAAGAAGCAGGCTTTTACGTTCAATATTCAGCTAAAACACACAAGTCCATAAGCAGACTGAGGTGTGAGTGAAAAAGGTAAAAGGAGGCAAGTACTCAAAGTCTGTCTTTTCTCCCCGGATTGTCTTTCTCTCACTCCTCTCTTCCTAAAACTGAATATTCTTCTGTTTTAACACTCTCTGGTTTTCTGACTCAAACAAGACAACAACTATAATTTGTTGAGCAGGAACCATGACTTGTTGGTCTTTGCAGCCCCCAGCATATTATAGTCCAGTGCCTGATACATAAGGGAGATTTACTATATATTTGAATGTTAGTTTTATCTTTACTTCATCTTTTTTCAGATATCTGCCCTTTTCACTATTTGTGTAAGCATAAGCAAAACTTTCTCTTCATTGTCCCTCAATTTAACCAGGCTGCTCAACACTGCTATGTTCCTGTTCAGAGCTGTGAACAAGATCAAAAGGTCCTGGTCATAAGTATAATAATGATTTCACTCATATGTGGAAGTGAATAAACAAACTGAACTATCAAAATAGAGACATACTTATAGATAGAGAGAAGGCAAGACAGCTCTGTTGGGGATGTATGTGTTGGGAGATTTGGAGGGATTGAGCAAAAGAGAGAGAAAAAAAGAGAACTCATGGACATGGACAACAGTGTGGTGATTGTGTGGGTGATGGTGGAGATGGCGGAAGAGGGCCTAGAGGGGATAGATGGTGATAGAAAAAAATAATATAAAATTTAAAAAAAGGTCTGTGTTGTTATGGACTATATAATCAACTAGAGGAGGAAGACATTGAACATATAACCTTAATTTGATAAATATTAGGGAAGGAAAAGTTCAGGATGCAACAATGTATAATCAAATTTAGGAGATCACAGGAGATATTCTTGGAACTGTGATGGACGGAAAATAATATTTATTAGATGGCCTGACCAGGGTAGCTAAGTGATTGAGCATTGACCAATGAATTGAGAGGATGTTAGTTTGATTCCTACTCAGGGCACATGCCTGGGTTGTAGGCTCGATCTCCAGTGGGGGAGGTGCAGGAGGCAGCCGATTAATGTTTCTCTCTCATTGATGTTCCTATATCTCTATCCCTCTCCCTTTACCTCTCTAACATAAATAAAAACATACAGAAAAATATTTGACTAGATGAAATTGGGGGTCAGGCAGGCACTGGGGAAAGAGTATTCCAGGCAGATGGACGGCTTGGTTCATTCAAAGAAGATGAAAGGTGGAGTTTCCCTAGGAAGAGTGTGAGGGTGTAACTCTTAAGAGGCCTGTATTGGACTCCTTTCCAGTGGTGTGTGTGGCCTCTGAGTGGCTCTGCAATGAGAATAACATCAGTATTACAATACCGAGTGAGCTCTTTTGGTAAATATAGACACATGCTTTCTGAATTTATTTATTTATTTATTTTCCAAGACATGGACAATGAGCCAAGCAAATGAAGCACCATCCAGCTTAGATAGTATCTCCCACTAAGCTCCTTGGTGTAAATTCCTTAAGTTCTAGACTGGCAATAAACTGGTGGTCAACCAATTAATTGAGTTCTAACAAGCAGTAGCTACACCCACGTGATTAATACAGCCCATTAGGCTGAGCTTTTCCTGAGCTACAGTGAATCATCCCAGAGAACCATGCTTTGATCTTCCTTTCTGGGAGCTGTAGATGTCATCAGAAGGTAATTTACTGAAACCTCTTATAACCAAGGCAAACACAATGGCCTGCCCCTCCTCATTGCCTGCTACCTTCCTTTTCTAGAACCTTTCAGATGTTGCTTTTAAATTTGATTCTCCCTGTATAAAAAAGAATGAAGTGGGATAGAGGTGGGGTACATAGAGTGATGACCCAAACCGAAGCCCTTGCCTTGCAGCTTTCTAAGCAAGGTCTTGCACCCTGCACTCCTTTGGCATAATAACTTCTGGCTAGCTCATGGGTAATGGAGAACAAGCAGGAATATTATTCATTGACAAGTTCCAAAAATACACAGACTTTCTCCCCCCTCAAATTAACAACTATAGCTGAAGAATATGGATAGATAACACAAAGTATATGCACAGCAAACTTCATTAAAAGTTTTTCAGTATTCTCGTCAAAGAGTGTGGAACGATGAGATATTTACATGACTGTATAAGTATTGAGGAGCAAATTCCTTAATGCTCAGAGGCCTTACATTTAGTGGTGTTAGAATCCCATTCATTTTTGAAAGCCAAATGTCTATCCTGACTCAAGTTAGAAAACAGGATCAAACCCTGCTTTATAAACATAAGCCTGTGAAATCATGTGTTACTACTGTCAGGGGTTGAAGTGGGGTGTGGGACAAACATGCAAGATTTTTAATTGTGCTTTAGGTAACATGATTGGAATCAGTAATGTCCTAGTTTGGAGGAGTTAGATTTCTTTGAGTCATTGATAGACTCATCAAAATTCATTGAATGATTTCAGTTTTTTTAGGCACTGAATTTGGCTCTAGGGACACAAAGATGAATAAGCATGGTCTAATATGGTCCTTGGAGAAGACATGAAAACCTCCCTTTTCCTCACCAGTGTTAGTTGTATGTCAATATATTGCTATCTTATTTCATAGAAACTGGAAAGTGATAATAAATATGAAAGTCATTATGACAGTAGAAACACGAATATGAAAGTTAATGTTAATATAGTCCAGTTAACAATAAATGTTAATATTGTTACAGAGCATTCCTTTGTTTGAACAATACAAATTGTTTTACATCCATATTGGCCTCTGCCACTAATAAAAACATTATTTTCTCTGCTTATTAATTTCTGTGAGACTATTGTCTTTTTATCGATAAAGGGAAAGCACTATTTGTCAGATGTTTCAGAAAAAATAGTAAGAACAGCTATACTGCTGAAAATAAATAACTATTGTCATTATTTTTTTCTACCAAGAATATAATTCCTTCTCTTCTAAGAACTATTAATTTTTGAGCAATATTTTATTTTTTAAAAAAATTACCCAGAACATGTATCAAACTATCACTACATCTGCAAAATATTTTAAAGAGCATCTGTGCCTTTAGACTGGGAAAGTATGCAAAAATCCCCCAAAATTTTTTACATAAAGCCACGTGGTCTTAATATGTACCACCTCAAAGAGGAACATTACCACTCTAGCACTACCAAGTGAGGAGAGAACCGAGAGATTTCTAAGAATATATGGGGTGTCATTTTCTGTTAACTGAGAGTTCGTGGAAATTTGTCTTCAAAATAACCTGTTTACAACACCCTTTATCTTATTTGATATGAAGGAAGCTGCCTGTCCCATTTAGCTACCAGAAACTTTTTTTTTTTTTAAATCATCCTAATTGCCTAAATCCTTATGGATATAATATGTAGAAATCTATGTTTATTTAATTTAGTTTTAATAAAATCAGTGTTCTAT